CTGTTGGGCAGGCGGCCTTCTGTCTCGAATGGACACAGGCCGCGGCGACATCGACAGCGAGTCCTGCTCCAAATGAACATGAACCGCTGTTGGGCATTGTACCCATTCTTTCCGTGCCCATTTCGGGCGTCCAGATACAAGAGCAGACTTGTCTGAGGGGGAGGTGGACGAGGACTCTACGAGTGAGCTTCGACACGATGCCTGGAGACAGTGCGCCACGCGGGGGGCCGAGAGCCCACACCGCAAGAGGGGCTCCGATGGGCAAGACTGGCCGAACCCTCCAACTGGAGCGCACGCCTTCGCCGTGAAACGTCTGCAACAGCGGAATGCTGCCGCCTGCCGCAAGCCTCGTTTCGACCAGCGTACTGGCGAGATGTTTCCTGCAACAGGCTGCTGCCATCCGCCTACTTGAAGTTCGAATCGCGATGACGTTGGCATTGGTTTATGACACCGCGTGGATCCGTTCAGCTTCAAAAGGTCGCGACTTGCCGACAGCGCAGATGGCTCGATGTCGGCCCACTCCAGGCCAGTGACGGTGTTCAGCTTTGAATGCCCGCGCAAGAATCGCCGCCGCACCAACGTGGGGAGAACCTGCCCTGGGCGGCGTCCAGCCAATACAGTCATCGGCCTGACCTCAGGAACGATAAATAAGGAACGAAGCCCCTTTTTTATCCGAAGGAATAACGCATAAGGAACGGTGAATTATAAACAGCGCATAAGGAACTGCAAAGAACGCATGCAAGCCTCAGGAACGACCGAGCCCCTTTTGACAAGTAAGTGTCCCTTATTCAAGCCGCTCGCTGTATTGCTTTTTTGCGGCTGGGTATCGGCAATCGGGCCGGCACAGCTTGCTGCTCCGAACGAGAGCAGGCGCCGCCTCTTGACGTGCGGACGCGAGCGCGCGCGCGCGCAGCCGCGAGAGCTCGGCCCCTCCAAAGACCCAGCCCGGGACCTTTGGGGGCTGCGCGATGCGTTGCGCAACTGGGCGTGCAAACGCCGCCGCGGTGAGCCTCCAGCGCGGGTTCTGCTCCAGGCCAGGTTTAGCTCAGACCTCTGCGCTGGACGGCGAAGGCACTGACGTCGCGAGAGGCACTCAGCCATTCAGACCCCTCCTCCCTCTCGCTCTCTGTGTATCCTACTCGTCCCCGGTGTCCTCGTCCCCTCCCCCCACTTTGCCTACTCCCTCCTCTTCTGCAGACCTCCGACGTCGTCCTGTTCTCACGGCGTGGGCCCTCAGAGGTCTCCACATGTTCCCCAATCCCGCCTGTTCATCCCGAATAATTTTCTCCAACCGTCCTGTGGTGTTGGGTCCTCGTTTTGAAGAGGCGGCGCCCCGCGTTCTCCTCCCGCCTCTTTTTTCCCTCCTCCCATCACCATCATCAACATCATTGCCGCGCCACCACCACCAATCCTGGCACACCCTTCGTACACTTCGTAACCCCATTGGGAGCTCCACCGAAGGCCCCAGTGGCGACGTTCCCATGCGTCCCCGCCACCCATTTTCGGGACACTCCTCACACGGCTCGTGGCCCCATAGGGAGCTCCACCCAGTCGCGACGTTCCCATGCGTCCCTGCCACGAATTTCGGCAGACACTTCACACGGTTCGTGACCCCATGGGGAGCCCCACCTCAGGCCCCAGTGGCGACGTTCCCATGCATGCTCGCCAACCATTTTGGCATACCCTTCTCACGCTTCGTGACTCCATACGGGGCTCCACCGAAGGCCCCAGTGGCGACGTTCCCATGCGTCCCCGCCACCCACATTGGGAACACCCTTCTCACGGTTCGTGGCCCCAGAGGTAGCTCCACCTAAGGCTCCAGTGGCGACGTTCCCCTGCGTCCCCGCCACCCATGTTGACACACGCCTCACACGGTTCGTGGCCCCATGAGAAGCTCCACCGAAGGTCCCAGTGGCGACGTTCTCATGCGCCGCCGCCATCCCACCCTTCTCACACGTTTTGTGACCCATAGGGAGCTCCACCTAAGGCTCCAGCGGTGACGTTCCCATGCGCCCCCGCCGCCCATTTTAGCACACCCCTCATAAGCTTCGTGGCCCCATAGGTCTCCACCACCCATTCCGACACACCCCTCACACGATTCGTGGCCCCGTAGGAAGCTCCCGATTGCCCAAGTGGCGACATTCACACGCGGTCCCGCCACCCGTTTTCGGCAGGCCCTCACACGGTTCGTGGCCCCATAGGGAGCTCCATTGACGGCCCCAGTGGCGACGTCCCCGCCACCCATTTTCGGCACGCCCCCCACAAGGTTCGTGGCCCCATAGGGAGCTCCACCTAAGGCCCCAGTGGCGACGTTCCCATGCGTCCCCGCCACCGGTTTTGGCACACCCCTCACACGGTTCGTGGCCCCACAGGGAGCTCCACCAAGGCCCCAGTGGCGACGTTCCCATGCGTCCCCGCCACCCATTTTCGGCACGCCCCCCACAAGGTTCGTGGCCCCATAGGGAGCTCCACCGAAGGCCCCAGTGGCGACGTTCCCATGCGTCCCCGCCACCGATTGTGGCACACCCCTCACACGGTTCGTGGCCCCACAGGGAGCTCCACCGAAGGCCCCAGTGGCGACGTTCCCATGCGTCCCCGCCACCCCTTTACGGCACGCCCCCCAAAAGGTTCGTGGCCCCATAGGGAGCTCCACCTAAGGCCCCAGCGGCGACGTTCCCATGCGTCCCCGCCGCCCATGTTCTGCACGCCTCCCGCACGGTTCGTGGCCCAATAGGGAGCGCCACCGAAGACGATATCCACAATGGCGGTACTCACATCTGCGAATGGTTCGTTCCTTCGCCAAGCAAGTTTTACTGCCCCACGGCCCGGCGAGGGCCCACGGAAGCCGAAAATTGCAGAACCGTGTGCGGTTGTGAGTAACGCAGATGTGGGTATCGACCTCGAGGACCTTCGGTGGAGCTCCCTATGGGGCAACGAAAAGTATGCGAAATGGAAGTGGAACTGTATACGGACCCTGCCACTGGGGCCTTCGGTGGAGCACCCTGTGGGGCCATGAAACGTGAGGGGTGCGCCGGATTGGGGGTGGAACTGCATGCGGACCCTGCCACTGGAGCCTTCGGCGGAGCACTCCATGGGGCCACGAAACATGTGAGGGGTGCGCCGAAATGGAGGTGGAACTGCATGCGGACCCTGCCACTGGGGCCTTCGGCGGAGCACCCCATGGGGCCACGAAACGTGTGAGGGGTGCACCGAACTGGAGGTGGAACTGCATGTGGACCCTGCCACTGGGGCCTTCGGCGGAGCACCCTCTGTGGCCGCAGAACGTGTGAAGGGTGCGCCGAAATGGGGATGGAACTGCATGCGGACCCTGCCACTGGGGCCTTGGACGGAGCGCCCTATGGGGACACGGAACGTGTGAGGGGTGCGCCGAAATGCGGGTGGAACTGCATGCGGACCCTGCCACTGGGGCCTTGGACGGAGCGCCCTATGGGGACGCGGAACGTGTGAGGGGTGCGCCGAAATTCGGGTGGAACTGCACGCGGACCCTACCACAAGGGCCTTCGGTGAAGCTCCCTATGGGGTCACGAATCGTGTGAGGGGTGCACCGAACTGGAGGTGGAACTGCATGTGGACCCTGCCACTGGGGCCTTCGGCGGAGCACCGGATGGGGCCGCAGAACGTGTGAGAGGTGCGCCGAAATGGGGATGGAACTGCATGCGGACCCTGCCACTGGGGCTTCCGGCGGAGCTCCCTATGGGGACACGAAACGTGTGAGGGATGCCCCAAAAAGGAGGTGGAACTGCATGCGGACCCTGCCACTGGGGCCTTCGGTGGAACTCCCTATGGGGCCACGAAGCGTGTGATGGGGTGCGCCGAAGTGGGCATGCGAGAGGGCAGAGGAGGCAGGAAGGCGGGAAGGGGAGGGGGAGGGAGGGGGAGGAAGAGGAGCGGGTGAGGAGACGCGGGGCGCCGTCTCCTCAAAACGAGGGCCCACCACCACAGGATGGTTGGGATGTTTTTTTAGATAGCGAGTACTACCATTACTACTATTCATAAAAATAATAATAATGATGATAACAATAATGATGATAATAATCAACGGGGGCAAGTCTGGTTTCTCGGTCAGCCGTTCGGGAGACGGTTCGGAGGGGCGCGGCCGCCGGAACGCATCCCGAGGCGGGCAGGGCCGCCAAGAGCGCACGAGAAGGCCCTCGGGCCTCGAAGCTCGAACACGGCGAGGGCCACGGCGTTGCGGCCCCCCCTTCCTGCCCCCTCTCCCTCCTGCCCCCTGCCTTGAAGAACAGAACGCATACCACACACACACACATCTCTCTTGAGCAGGGACCGACCGTCCCGGCATTTCTACATGCCTACCACGACCTGTTCTTAGAAGCCAGAACTGGTCTAAGAGCAGAAACAATGTTCTCATAACGTAGCCCCGCTGCGTTAAAAACAAGACAGTCCTAGCCAGAATTGTTCTAAGAACACTTCGTGCAGACCTCAAAGGGTTCTTAAACATTAGTTGGTAGGCCTATAGGCGAGCCAGGACGCTTCGCCACTGCTTGACTCTCTCTCTCTCTCTCTCTCCCTCTCTTTTCCCCGAAGGTGTGCTGGTGGTGGCGCGCCAACCTCCGCGTAGTGTTTCTCGCGCGCAGGATTGGTCCGAGCTGGTTTCTCTTGTGCGTCTTTCCAATCCGAACGTTCTGGCCCTTCCAGAAAAGCGCTCATTTCAGGACCTGTTCATCATCCAGCTTATCCGCTACAGCCTCCTCCTCCTCCTCCCCCTCCTTCTCCACTGTGCACAGCCCCTTTTTTTGCGCATAACATGCGGGCGTCCTTTGGAGGGTTGAGTTCCGCTATGTCACCCGTCGGCGGATTGAGATACAAAAAACGCGCGCACTTGGAAGGGACGGGCTGGGAAGGGCAGGATGCCAGGTAGGGCACGGGCGCGCATAGCTTGTTCCCTCTACGTCCCTTCTCCTCCCTCCTCCCTCTCTCTCAGCTTCCCTCCTCCTCATCCTCCTCCCCATCCTCGGATCCTCCTCCGCGACACGGCGAGCGCCACGATGTGGCAGACCTCCCCGAGGCTGCGGCCCGCCAGGCACGGCAGGCGCCAGGCCATCAGCTCCCGCGCGCACGAGTAGCGGCCAGCCGGCAGCGGCACCGAGCCGCCCTATGGGCGCGGGGTGCTACGAAAGCCCACGCGAGGTCTTCTCCCGGGCCCCCTGCTGCTCGACCTCCTCCTCCGCCTCATCCTTCCTCCTCCTCCTCCTCCTCCTCCTTCTCCTCCTCCTCCTCCTCCTGCTCCTCCTCATCCTCCTGCTGCTTTTCCTGCTCCTCCTCCCTCTCCTCCTTCTCCTCCTCCTCCTCCTCCTCCGATCCCCTCCTCCTCCTCCTCCTCCTCCTCCTCCTCCTCCTCCGTCCTCTCCCCTCCTCCTCCTCCTCCTCCTCCTCCTCCTCCTCCTCCTCCCCTCCTCCTCCAACTCCTCTCTGAAACTCCTCTCTCTCCTCCTCCTCTCCCTCCTCCTCCCTCCTCCTCCCTCCTCCTCCTCCTCCTCCTCCTCCTCCTCCTCCTCCTCTCCTCCTCTCTCCTCCTCATCCTCCCCCTCCTCCTCATCCTCCTGCTGCTGCTTTTCCTGCTCCTCCTCCCTCTCCTCCTCTCCTCCTCCTCCTCCTCCTCCTCCTCCTCCTCCTCCTCCTCCTCCTCCTCCTCCTCCCTCCTCCTCCTCCTCCTCCTCCTCCTCCTCCTCTCTCCTCCTCCTCCTCCTCCTCCCTCCCGACCCCCTTCTCCTCCTCCTCCTCCTCCTCCTCCTCCTCCTCCTCCTCCTCCTCCTCCTCGTCCTCCTCCTTCTCCTCCTGCTCCGATCCCCTTCCTCGTCCTCCTCCTCCTCCTCATCATCACCCTCGTTACCCTGGTCCTCCTACGACCTATCCTCGTAGTTACTTATCTCCACTGCTCCTCCCTCACGCCACCCTCTTGCATCACCATGACCCTCCTCCTCATCGGCTTCCTCGTCATCCTGCCCCGCCTGACCCTCCTTCCCCTCCGTTTCGTTCTCCACGTTGCTCCCATCGTAGCAGTCCTTCCTGATCCCCAACCTCCTCATTATCCTCCTCTTCCTCCTCCACCTGGAGTGCAGGGCGTAGCGTTAGGTCTGCCCGAGGCCTCGCCCACCTCCGAGAAGTGGTACGCCAGCTCCTCCCATAATGCCTTTCAGGGGGGCCCTGAGCTGCACTGCTGGCTCCCCCTCCTCAGCCCGTCCCTCTGCCCTCCGCGCGCCCCTCCCTCCCAATGTGCTCCCTTTCGACCTCCATGTGATTCCCGCCCACATCCTGGCATCGCTCGGACGTCCATCCCCTGTGTTTTGTTTCGGTGTCGTGCGTGGTTTTTTCGCGAAATGATTAAGGATGTTCCCCGATGGTCCTCACCGAAGGAGAAATGCACACGTCCGAGCGATGCCAAGACACTCCTCCCGCCCCCATTCCCCGCTTCCCTGGCCACCTCCCGCCTGATCCGCCCCCCACCCCAGCTCCTCGGCCCACCCATTTCCTCTCTCGCCCCTCCATTGCCTCGCATCCACCCTCCCCTCTTCTCCCTCGTCCTCTCCCATCATCCATCGCCGTCTCTTTTGGCCCATCCCTCCCAATCTCCACTGTTCTCGTCGTACGCACTCTCCCAACCCTCCCGCACACATCCAGCCCCAGAAAAAACCCGGACACCGAAAAGATGCCGTTTGAAGATGCAAGCAGAATAACATCTAACGGCGTCCGCCAACCTTCCGGCGGCTCTCCGCCGGGGCGGCGGCCCTTGCTTTACTTCCTCTGGCCCTCCTCCTCCTCCTCCTCCTCCTCCTCCTCCTCCTCCTCCTCCTCCGCCTCCCCCTCCTCCTCCTCCTCCTCCTCCTCCTCCTCCTCCTCTCCTCCTCCTCCCCCCCCTCCTCCTCCTCCTTCTCCTCCTCCTCCTGCTCCTCCTTCTCTTCCTCCTCCTCCTCCTCCAAGTTCTCGATCAGTCGAAAGTGACACCCTTAGTTAAGAACGTCACGCAGACAAACCAGCACCACTGGCAGCAGGAGGGTGACTGCACACCGCAGGGAGCGCCACGGCAGCAGCCACTGGCGCGCGCTGCTTCTTTCCTCTAGCATCATCAGCATCACTCCAATCATCGCCATCTCCAACATCATAATCGACATCATGTTCATTATCAGCAGCAACCTCATCATCGTCGTCACCGCCATGAGCTCCATCATCAGAAACCTAATCCTAAACGGCACTCATGAGCATCATCATCCATCTTCGTCCACAGCATCATGATCATCAGCACCACCGTCAGCATCATCAGCAAAGTAATCATCAAACTTGCCATCAGCATCATCACCATTACCATAGTCATCATCTTCATATGCATATTCATCATCATCATATTCATCATCATCATCATCACCATCATCATCATCATCATCATCATCGTCGTCGTCGTCGTCGTCAGCAACATACCCGTGACCACCAACACCGTACAACCAATCTAATCCCCGTCAACACCATCATGATAATCCTCATCATCATCAACATCATCAGCATGTTCAACAACATCAGCGTCACCATCATCATCGTCATTAGCATAATCATAATAATAAACATCATGACTAGCAGCAGCATCATCATCAGCATCATCGGCACCATCAGCATCATCAACAAGCTCATCATCATCATCATCATCATCATCATCATCATCATCATCATCATCATCAGCATCATCATCGTCATGACCACCATCGTCATCGTCATCATAATCACCATCCATCAGCATCATCGTCCTCAATATCGCCCGTAGCATTAGCATCATCGCCATCAGCAGAAGCCGCCTTTTTATCCTGACTAACACCAACCTCATCACCATCTTCATGCCACATCAATATCATAGCGATCATAAGCAACAACTTCATATTCATCATCACCCACATCACCATCATTACCGTCAGCATGGACATCACCAGCAGCAGCATCAACATCATCAGCAGCAGTATCATCATCAGCATCATCATCATAACCATTGCCATCACAATCGTCATCATCATCATCATCAGAATCACCATCATCATCAGCATCATCATCATCATCGCCATCGTCATCGTCACCACCGTCGTCAGCATCTGACTCAGCACCACCATCATCAACGTCGTCGTCGTCAGCAGCAGAAGCACCCGCATCAGCATCCGCATCAGCATCAGCAGCATCAGCATCATCATCCTCATATTGGCCCTCAGCAGGAGCAGCAGCATCATCTCCCCCTTCCTCATCCTGGCCCTCGCTCGCCCCGGGAGGGCGCCGAAACGTACGAGCAGGGGCCTGGCAGGGCAATCGGGGGAGGGGTCGCCACTGGCGGCAAGGGCGGCCCCTCCCCAAAGGCGGCGGGCAACCACCCGGGACTCCCGGCGCCCGCCAGAACCGCGCAGAGCGTTCAACATCGCTCAAAACCTCCTCCTCCTCCTCCTCTTCCTCCTCCTCCTCCGCCTCTTCCCCCTCCGCCTCCTCCTCCTCCTCCGCCTCCTCCTCCTCCTCCTCCTCCTCCTCCTCCTCCTCCTCCTCCTCCTCCTCCTCCCTCCTCCTCCTCCTCTCCTCCGCTTCCTCCTCACGGCAAAGTCCAAGATCCAAACGGGCCGACCCTCCAAAGGCGGCGGCACTGGGCCAGGCGAACAGAAAAAGTGATCAGGGAGCATGGCGGAGAGAAGAGAAGAGAAGGAGAGCGGCGACACGAGGAAGCAAAGGGCAGAGGATAGGAAGCTGGACCCCCCCCCCAGCTCCTGCGGTCCCTCCATCGTTGTCCGCGGCGGGCGATAAGTGGCCGATTCCGGAAACCCCAAACTCCAAAATGCAGTCATCTCTTGGAGGCGCTTTTTCACACTTCCGCCACCTTCCGCCACACTTCCGGCGGATTCCGCTAGCCTCCGCCAGCGGAGCCGGCCTCGTTTTGCTTCCGCCGACCTTCCGCCGCCCTTGCGCCGCCTTCCGCCGCGGAGGAGATGGCAAAACCGTCGATCCTCGAAAGCGGGGGCCTTTCTGGAACGCCCTAAATCGAAGGGGGGGAGGGAAGATCCTAGCGAGGAGCTGGCGAACCCCCTGGGTGTCGACACCTCTCGGCTGTGGCGTCAAGGGGGTGCGGCCTCCGCACGCCCCTGTCCCCCCAGGCACAGGAAGGAGCGGGGGAGGAGGAAGAGGGAGCGGGGGAGCAGGGGGGAGGTTGAAGGAGGAGAAGGAGGAGAAGGAGGAGGAGGAGGAGGAGGAGGACGAGGAGAAGGACGACGACCAAGACGAGGAGGAGGAGGAGAAAGAGGAGAAGGAGGAGGTGGAGGAGGAGGAGGAGGCGAAGGAGGAGGAGGAAGAGGAGGACGACGACCAAGACGAGGAGGAGGAAAAGGACGAAGAGAAGTGCAGGCCAGAGCTTGAGGTCGGGGACCGAGATGACGACGGGGAGGGCGAGGAGGAGTGAGATAGAAGAGGAGGAGGAACGTGAGGAGGAGGCCTCTGGATAAGGGTCGCGTGCGTCCGTCGGGTCGGTGAAGTCTGGGTCGCGGCCCCGCAGCATCACCACGTACTCCTCGCCAGCCTCGGGGAGTCCCGAGATCCGTCTCACCGATCCGCCGCTCCCCCTCCTCTCCAACGCTGCCTCGACCACCCCGCTCCCCCTCTCGCTTCCGCCGCACCATGGCATGCCACCACTCCCACCTCCCTGCCCCCTCCCCCCCGCCCTGCCCGATTCCCCCTCCCCTCCCACCCTGCCTCCCGGCCTCCCTCTCTCTTTCCCTCCCTCCGCCGGCCTCCCCATCACCTCCTTGCCTGCCTCCTCCCTATCGCGTACTGCCGAGTTCCTCCTCCTCCCGCGGCCCTGCAACAACCCTCCCCCCCGCCCAGCCACAAGGACACTCCCACGCACACATGTGCAGATACCGCTGCCCCCCAGACCTCTCTCCTGGAGAGCACCAGGATCCCGAATCCGCAGCCAGCCAGGGCGACGATGGCCCCCTGGAGGCTTAAAGCAGGCAGCGCGAGGGCGCGCAGCGGTACTGCCATGCTGTCCCGATCCGACCCGCTCCCCTGCCCCATCGTTCTATCCCCGCCCACGGCATCGGAGCTCACATCGCGTCTCATTGGAGCCCCCTCGGGTGGGACGGGGGACTCTCGCAGCACCGCGCGAAAAGGCGGAAGAGGAGAAAGAGGAGGACGAAGAGGAGGAGGAGGAGGAATAATAATAATAATAAGAAGAAGAAGAAGAAGAAGAAGAAGTGGAGGAGGCAAATAAAATGCCACCCCGAACATTAACCTTCTCCCTCCCGAGACTGCCGACGTCCGTCTCTTCTCACCACCTGGACCCCCGGCGGTCTCCGCCTATTTCCAAAGTGGGTGCGGACCGCCTTCTGGAGGAGAACCTCGATGTCAACCTGGAGCGTGTCGGACCGAAACTTCTGGTCCGGTGAGACTTCCACGCCGTCCAGGTCGAAGAGAGCACCATCCGCGATGCTGGACGCGGCTTGCTCGCCGCCCTCGACAAGGGCCGAGAGGTTGATGCAGCCGCCCTTGACCTCGTGGGGGATGCCGTTAGCGACCAGCGCCGCTTCTCAGTCGCCAGCGTGGACTCCGCGGTGACGAGATCGTCGGCGGCGGTATAGGCCTTGGCCTGGCAGTCTGCCAGCCAGAGCTTGGCGACGGCCAACGGCTTCGCGGCTTTCTCGAGGGCGCGGCGCGCATTGTGTTCAGATGGGGCTGCCCACTGGATGCTCTCCTCAAGGAGCGCGGGGCGCTCTGCATGCTGAGTCTGGGCCGTCTCGAGCAGCTGGAGAGCGCGGCAATGGTCCTCGGATTCGGCTTGGACCCCGAACTGCTGCACCACGGCGGTAATGGCGAGAGTTTGTTGCGTGGTTTTGGGATCCTCTCACCGATTGTCGCCTCCGCCTGCCTTGTCAGGTCACCACGTGGTCGAAGGCGAGCGCCAACCTTCTCGCGCCCAAGCTCCCTGTGGCGGCAAGGGCGTCTAAAATCAGGCTGGGCGAAGGGCAGACCCGCAACTGAAGCAGTTCTGGCGTTTCTGGTAGCCCCTGCTGGTAGCTGCATGTCTTACTATTGGCGTAGTCCGGGGCGCACGTGGTCTTAGGAGGGGGCGACGTCGTAGGGCGGCGCTGGGGAGCCATGGCTGCGGGCGGGCCTGGCAATGACCCTGGAGCGGGGTCGTAACGAGGAAACTTGAAGGCCAGCGCGCTGATGCCGAGCCTGAGCGTGAAAAGGATGCCGAGCAGCTAAGGTGCCCTGCCTGCCGCGAACCAGCGAAATCCACGTTCGTCGCAAGGATAACTTGCATCTTGAGCCAAAGCGGCGACGTAGAGAAAGATGAGGGAGAGAAGGAGAAAGAAGAAGAGCATGATAATAACTATAAGAGGATGAAGGGGAGGAGATGGAGAGGAAATAAAGAGAAGGAGGAGGAGGGGGAGGAGGAGGAGGATACTATGAAAATGGTCGCAGCATAGAGGGAGGCGGACGGCTCCCTCTGATGGCTGGCGCGCGACGGGAAGCACGAGTCAGGAGGAGAGAAGGGGGATGGGGAGGAGGAGGAGGAGGAGGAGGAGGAGGAGGAGGAGGAGGAAGGAGGAGGAGGAGACTGGAGACTGTAGCAAGACGATGTCGTCCCAACAAACATATCAAAAACGGTGATAAGATCACGTCGGCCGTGATTCGCTGCCCACCCGAGACGGCTTGGTGCGTAAGGTGGCAAGGTCCCCTGAAGCCTTCACCGTCATTTCAGGTTCCTCGAACAGGAAAACCACTACCAACCACGCCGAATCGAGTTCCCGAAAATCGGACCCGATTGCTCCCCTCCTTGCCTGCTGCAGCGGGCAGCCCTGATAGTATGCCCTGTACGTGAAGATTGAGTACCAGGATACGGTACCTAGTGCTCACCAGGAAAAGGAGGAGGAGAAAAGGGTGAGAAAAGGAGGATGGACCGAGATGGGCGCCTGGGCCTCCACCTGGAGCTGCGGGCAGCTCTCGCAGGCGCCACGGAGGCGCCGCGCGTCGACGAACGGCGGGATGCCGCCGTCGTCGTGGCCTGGACGATGACGACGGCGACGGCGACGACGACGACGAGGAATGAGGAAGTGGACGACGACTACAAGAAGGACGAGTTGAGGAGGATAAGGAGGAAGAGGACCCCCAGCCCAGATACCTCCGCCAAGAATACAAGGAAACCACGCGGCTGAATCGGAAACATCGCGTCTATCCCTCAGCCGCGTGGGGCGTCGCGGCTTAGGGGGACCCTTTGCGCGGGTGACGCTCGGCTGCCTCTCAATGTGGAAACTGTCGCGAGTTAGAAGGAGGACGAGGAGGAGTAGGAGGAGAAAGAGGAGGAGGAGGAGGAGGAGGAGGAGGAGGAGGAGGAGGGGGGGAGGAGGCTCCTGAGCCAAGTTGGCGCAGTGTCCGCAGAGGGAGGCTCTTTTTTGTTCATGTGTGTGTAAATTACTTCTGGTGTGGGTGGAGAAAGGTCCCATCCGCTGCTAGTTCAGAAACATGCACGGTTTCAGCCCGAGCTCCGCTGCTCACAGTGCTCATCCAGTGTGGTAGGCCGCGTGCCAGTCGTTGCAGCCATCTTCCAGCGATGGGCGGCTTCAAGGCACGGTTGCATGGTCACAATAACTGCTGATATCGACACATGGCTCTGTACCACGAACACGGTCGTTTGTGCGGACGCTCCCCAGGCGGTGTGCCCAAGGGGCCACAGGGAAATTGCAATGGGTACGTGGCTCAACGGCCCGCCTAAGGGGCCTAAGGTGCCCAACAGCATGGACTCCGAGACGATCACGTCGCCCGAAGACTTCGCCAAATTGTCGGCTGAGTGGTCGTCCAATCTGCCGCCCAATATGGTGTCTCATCGAGCGCTACCGCGGGGCGAACCAGCGGCGTCCAATGCCGTCGTCGCAACCGCATAGCTCAAGCAATGGAGCTCGATGAGGCGAAGCAGAACTCGGAGGAAGCTGCGGCCAAGGCGGCCAAGGAATGCGCAAAGATGGTCCCAGCTGGGCCCTAAGATCCGGTCCACCAGCTCACTGTGCTCACGCAGACGCTGTCCCGCGACGAGCGCCTCCAGCAGTTCGCGCAGCAGTTGCAAGGTCTAACGCCTGATCGTGAGGACGTTTCGGCCTCTTCATCCTTAGCCTCCAGCTGGCGACGTCGGCATGGAGGCCGCAGGGGTTGGAGCTTGAGGTGGAGTCGCAGCTGGGGCTCGGCCAGGAAGGTGGTGCCGCCGCAGCCGCAATGGACCCTGCCGTCCCCGTCGGCGACGGCATTGCCCCCCGCCGAAGCAGCTCGACCCGAAGCAAACGCTGCTGCCACGCACGCTCGGGTAGCTGCCGCCTCACAGGAGATACCTGCCTGGATCGGAGAGGACCCTGAAGTGTCGGACGAGGGAGCTGCCAACTCAAAGGCTGCCCAGATTGCTAATGCTCGCGATGCCAAGCATGAGTTGGTGGCAGGAGTTTCCGAAGCCACCATAAGAGGTTGCAAGAAGAACGTCAAAGCGGATCAGCAAGCTTGGTGACACCGCCTGGGCGTTCGCCACCGCTGACGTCAGCAGCATCACTGGGCAAACGCAACCCCGAGTCCAAACGTGTCAAGCCAAGCGTGTGCAATTCAAGAGCATAATGTTCAGTGTGAGCCTCGTGCCCGATGAGAGCAACGGCTGCGCAGCATGCCATGGCGAGAAGTCATGGAAACCAGAGGTCGTTACACCTGCAGGAGGCACAGCTTCTAGGAGGCACAGCTTCCAGGATTCATGCAGTGCCCCCCCCCCCTCAGATCGGGACTAATGAAGTTGAGTGCCTGCCCTCAGCCATCGATGGCGGTCGAGGGAGCACATTGCACCGTTCGGGCGGAAGAGGAGGAGGAGGAGGAGGAGAAGGAGGAGGAGGAGACGAATCACGCAGACGACACGACGAGCAAGGTGGACGCCCCTTTCCCACGTGCTCCGTCCCAGGGACCGCCGTCGGCGCAAGCCCGCTCGCCCACGCGCTTCAGGAGTATCCGCCCGAAGGGCTTCAGCTTGTCGTCGTACAGGCTGGCCACCGCGGACACAATCATCCTGGACTCGGGCTGCGCCCCATCCTGCCCGCTACCCCTCCGCCACGCCATCCGCGCCTGCGCACAAGCGAAAACGCAATTAATAAACAAATCATTCAAGCCACTTGGGCCAGCTTCCCGGACATTTCTCTTAAAACATTTGCCTGGGCCAGTTTTCGGAAACTAAACAAGCGAAACCAATACCCATGGAACACCAACGGAGAGGAGAGGAGCCCGGGACAGGAGGAGCACAGGAGAACAAGCATCAATCATCATACATTACCAACTAAGAATAATCATTCTTTCAAGCCATTAACTGATAAACTTGTGTAGCATTATGTTGAATGGAAACCAGGTTGAACTTGAGTAATGAATGGGTGAATAATTAACTGTGCTTGGTTTGTTTGCATGGGTAATTGATTCACCACGTGTTTACCAACTATTAGTTACTCGATACATACATCGTCCATTCCGTACCTTTAGAAATCCAAATAGTTTGTTATTTAATTGATAAGTACATGAGCCATTACTTAATTTACTGTCCTCCTCGCTGCTGCAACTCCTCCTCCTGCTCCTCCTCCCTCCTGCTCCTCCTCCTCCTCCTCCTCCTCCTCCTCCTCCTCCTCCTCCCTCCTGCTCCTGTTCCTCCTCCTCCTCCTCCTCCTCCTCCTTCTCTTACTCATCATCCCTCCTGCTCATTGCCCTCCTCCTCCTCCTCCTCCTCCTCCTCCTCCTCCTCCTCATCATCATCATCATCATCATCATCATCGTCATCATCATCATCATCATCATCATCATCATCATCATCATCCCTCACTCTTTCACTCCTCCTCCTCCCCCATCCTCCTCCTCCTCCTCATCATCATCATCATCATCATCATCATCATCATCATCATCATCATCATCATCATCATCATCATCATTCATTCCTTCATCCACCCTCCTCCTCCTCCTCCTCCTCCTCCTCCTCCTCCTCCTCCTCCTCCTCCTCCTCCCCTCCTCCTCCTCCTCCTCCTCCTCCTCCTCCTCCCTCCTCCTCCTCCTCCTCCTCCTCCTCCTCCCTCCTCCTCCTCCTCCTCCTCCTCCTCCTCCTCCTCCTCCTCCTCCTCCTCCTCCTCCTCCTCCTCCTCCTCCTCCTTCCTCCTCCTCCTCCTCCTCCTCCTCCTCCTCCTCCTCCTCCTCCTCCCTCCCTCCTCCTCCTCCTCTCCTCCTCCTCCTCCTCCTCCTATTCCCTCCTCCTCCTCCTCCTCCTTCTCCTCCTCCTCCGCCTCCTCCCTGCGGCCTGTGCTCAAGCCTGACCACGGCGCGCGGCGCGGCCCGCTGCTGGCCGCCCCTGGGGGGGGGGCAGGGCCGACGGGGCGAGGGCCGGCCCCGCGCGGGCGGACGGGAGAGGCGCCCCCAGACGTGGTGTCGTGCCCCCAGAAATCGGGAGCATCCAAAAGGGGGGCGTCCAAGAAAGGGGGGGGGGGGGCGAGTGATGGCCGGCGGCATGTGCGCGGCCCAGGGGCGGGGGGGGGGCCGGGACGTATTGAGACCAGAAGGGGCGCCATGAAATCAGGGGAAAAGTCGTGGCTCAAGCCATGATATCCACCCCCCCTAGTCATCACCCCCCTCTCTGCCTCCCCCGAAAGAAACACGACGGACGTTTCTTCGTATGCTCGGCATCCGGGGGCCCTCGCAGGGCCCCCAGGGCCATCAGAGCCCGACTCGGGACGAGAAGCCGGCCCTGGGAGGTGGGTGGAGAGCTCTGGGGGTCGACGTAATGAAACAATAATGGCGTCGGGGCTCTGGGGCAGGCGCAGGGCTGGAGGGAGGAGGATAAAGAGGAGGAGGAGAAGGAAGAGGAGGAGGAGGAGGAGGAGGAGGAGGAAGAGGATGAGGATAAGAATGAAGATGGGGAGGAGGAGGAGGAGGAGGAGGAGGGAGGAGGAGAGAGAGGAGGAGGAGGAGGGGGGGACGAGGAGGAGGAGGAGGAGTAGGAGGAGGATGAGGAGGAGGAGGAGTGGGAAGGATTGAGTGGAGGCCCTGGCTCGCGGCGAAAAGGTTTGGCCTATGGCTTCTGCCTCCAGAGGCCCTCGCGGGGCCCTGGGACCAACAGAATGCGACTCGGGATTAAAGCCGCCGGTCCTGGGGAAGGGGTCCAGACCTCTTGGGGTGCAGGTTGCAAAAAAAAAAAAACATACGACGCAGGTGGAGGAGGAGGAGGAGGAGGAGGCGGAGGAGAATGAGAAGGGAGGGGGAGGGAGGGGAAGGAGGGGAGGAGGAGGAGGAGGAGGAGGAGGAGGAGGAGGAGGAGGAGAACGAGGAGGAGGAGGAGGAGGAGGAGAGGAGGAGGAGGAGAAGGACGAGGATGAGAAGGAGGAGGAAGACGAGGAGGAGGGAGAGGAGGAGGAGGAGGAGGAGGAGGAGCAGGAGGAGGAGGAGGAGAGAAAGGAGGGCGACGAGAAGGGATGAGGAAACGGAGGCAGCAGGGGAGGAAGAGCAGGACGAAGACGCGCGGTGCAGGGTAGGGGAGCACGACGCAGATGCGCGGCCAGCGCGCAGCTGCCAGAACTGACGGGCCAAAAAGGAAGATGAGGAGGGCTGGGACAACGACGGGAGGGTGGGAAAGGACTGGTGGCGCGCGCGAGGCGGTGGCCCGCGGGGGGGGGCGGCGGCCCTCCAAGAAGCCTGGAGGTTCTCGGAGAGGACGGGGGGCTTCTCAGAAGCCGGACCCTGCCAAAGAGGCCCTTGCCTTCCAAGAGGCCCCCGTGCCTTCTCCGAAGACCACGCCCCCCATCGCACCAGTTGGGAATAGCCCGAAGCATACACCGAGTCGTGTGGTCGGCCGACGAGCTCGGTGTGCACACGCCAGCCGAACTTGTGGGACGCTGGAACGCTCATACAGAGAAATCCTGTGCCGAGCTCCTTGGCACCTTGGCAGACCAAGCGACGAGGTGTATTCATCGAGTCCTTCCGAACACCACCTTCTGCAGCCACGCTCAGGATCTATGCCGCTGCGGAAACCCATGTTTTTCTCCCCAGTTGAAGCGGCATTCCGAAAAATAAGACAGAGGTGCGGTGCAGGGGAAAGAATACCAAGGAAAAGGCCAGCGAGCAATCGCCCGTCAGCATCAGGCCCACCCTGGAAGCCATGAGCAACACACCAGCTGGCCAGAGCAGCGGAGCCGCGCCGAGACAGAACCGCCCTTACCCGCGCAGCGGCTGCGCCATTTACAAAAATCGCGCAATAAGATGCTTGCCAGCCTGGCCCACCAAAAGTGGATTTTGGCGCTCTCTACGTGAGGTAACACACGGGGTGCAATATTCGAAAAGCAATCCACATTAGGTATGCGAGACATGTTGTGCAAGCTGCGTGGTGCGAACTGCGAAGTGTGAGGTGCATGATACGTGGTGCAATCAAAATTGTGTAGCTCTCTACTTAACAGAAATGAGGTACCCCACCGCTCGCGCGACAATCCCACCCTCTAGCCTGCACCTAGTTTTGCACAACCAATGCAGCCGCGATTGCGGCGGCTCCTCGGCTGGCGCATATTTGCGACTGCACAAGCGCGAGCAAGTTTGCGCGCAAAGCGCCAAGCCGGTTTGGAACAACTGAGACGATTCTTCTGTTGAGAAGAACAAGTATCGGCTGCAAAATGTGTGGAGCAGTCCGGGCCGTGCAAGCAACTTGGTGCAAAACCATCGCACACCTGAGACAAAGTACGTGGGGCAATGCACGTGGCGCAAGCTATGCGGTGCAAACTATGGTTACGCGCTGCCTGCTATGCGCAGCAACACACGAGTTGCGTTACATGTGCATATCTACATATACACGTGCGTAGCGCAATCCGTGTGGTCGCACCATACTTGTGATGCAGGGCTTGGGCTTCAATCTCTCTGGTGCACGCTCTGCCGTGCAGTGTGCGAGCGTGTCCAGCAGCAACGCCAGCCGTCGCCCACGAGGCGCCCAAAGGGCGGGCACCAGGCGAGCATCCGCGGCACCCGGACCGCGCAGGAGGCGCCCACGGGGCGCCCACCCGGAAAAGCCTGGGGAGCCCAGGCACAGCGAGGGGCGCCCACGAGGCGCCCGCGAGCAGCGACGGGGCGAGAGCCCAGGGAGTTCGGGCACCGCACGGGGCGCCCACGAGGCGCCCACGGGCGTCGACCGGGCGAGGGCCTGCAGGAACCCGCCCACCGTTGTGGCAAGCCGAGCCCGGGACCTCCACGCGAGCACCGGCTGGGGAGGCTGCAGGGGCCGAGCCAGTTTGACAGAGGCCCACGCGCGCCCGGCGCAGCTTTGCTAGAAGTTCCTGGCGAGCGCGCAGCCGTCAGGCGAATCGCCTTTTGAAAACCAGCCGCCCTGCACCCGTGTGGTTGACGAAGAGTTCAAGCTTCACGCTCATAAGTCGTGGGGAGGTCTCAGGCGAACCGCCCACGCCTGAGGGTGCGATGAGGAAACATATTCAGAGGAGGAGGGGGCGGAGGAGGTAAAAGACAAGAGGAGGAAGAGAAACAGGAGAAGTAGGAGGAGGAGGAGGAGGAAGGGGAGTGGAGAGGAAGAGAAGAAGATCGGAGAGTGGAGGAGGACAAACTAGGTGGACTCGCGCCATATCTGACATCCTGCCCGTCTCTACCATCCCCTTCCCATTGCGCTGAATTTCTCTCTATCCGCGGACGCGTGTCATGGCCGATCCGAATCTCCCACAAAGACGCCATTGCGCTATTCGCAACCCGGCAAGGGGAACTGCGTACATAGGAGGAGGAGGCGGATGATGAAGATGAAGATGAAGATGAAGCTGAAGATGAAGATGAAAATCATCCCGCTCCCGCCGCTGGGGCCAGACGATCTTGATTTCTGACTGAGCGAGCCGGCGTCGGGAGCAGCGGGCGAGCGCAGCAGCTCGAACGAGAGGCAACCTGCGCTAGCGATCGCGGCTTTGCCGATCCTGCCCCTGGAAACAGGGCTGAGCCAGGGAGGGATGGGAGGGAGGCGAACCTGTGACAGGAAACGGCCACACACGCCAGCGGTTGCTAGACGACGCGCGCGCAAGCACAAACATCATCCCGCTCCCGCCGCTGGGGCCAGACGATCTTGATTTCTGACTGAGCGAGCCGGCGTCGGGAGCAGCGGGCGAGCGCAGCAGCTCGAACGAGAGGCAACCTGCGCTAGCGATCGCGGATTTCCGATCCTGCCCCAAAACAACGAATCCCAAAGAGTTCAACTGGCCCCTTTGGGCCGTCGATCAAAAATTATCCAGCATTCAAAACCCATCTGGAGAAACCCTGACAAACTTTAAACGCGAGGGCCTGCCGAAAGCATTTTACGATGGCCCTACACAGAGGTCTCGGGCATGGTTCAGCTATCTTTGTCATAAACTGCAAAGGCTCATTCTCTGATGTTCTACATTTACCTGTCAACTCAACATGTGGGCGATTCGTGCGGGTGCAAATCCCTTTGGACGACGAGCACAAACCACGAAGCGGGGAGAGATCGACCCACAAGGAAAGAAGCCTGATTCTCTTCCTCCACGGAACACCGCAGAGGCAGAAATCTACGACGGTCTGTCTGGCATTGGCATGGTTCAAAATACGTGCAATGGGAGGCGCCGACCACACCCGAGACGAGTGCGGATTCTCAAGTACCACTGGGATGTGAAGACGCATGCAGAGTTGCAACATGCTGGCACAGAAACGCATGATATGCTTTCCTATGGCAACCTTTCGTGCATCAAGGGGCGAGAGATCAGGAAGCCCCATGATACAATCCCTGCTGCGCAGCGGGGGCGGCCCTGTCGTGCCGCCCCTCCGCGCCATGGACCAGGAGGAACACAGCATGCCCATCCACACTGCGCAGATGAGGCCGCCGCGCAGCCACCCCCTGATCAGCCTCTGGTTGCTCGGGCGGGTCAAGTCGCACTCCTCTCCGTGGACCAGGTCCCACTCGAAGACCGGCACATCTTTGAGCCCCGCCTCGTGTCGCCAGGCCTGCGCCCAGCGCCCCGTGCCGCTGAAGAGCTCAAGGGCCACCTGGCCCCGTGGGGCACGAGCGGCAGCGCTGAGCAGGTCCTGGCGAGGAGCTGTCCAGCTCGGTCGCGGCAGGCCTTGGCGTGCTCGAGCGCCACCTTGGAGAGCCGCGCCAGCACCTGGTTGAGCCTGCCCCCCTTCTCGTAGCGACGGAGCGACTTCACGCTCACCCAGCGCCCGCGACGCAGCACGCCCTGCAGGTCCCTCTGGCCGCTGGCGATCTCGTGCGAAGCGCCCCCGTGGCGGCGCTGGTACAGGTGGTTGATGCCGATCACCTCCAGGTTGAGCAGCTTCACCGCCGCGCCGAAGTGCCTCGCCAGCACCGCG